GTCCCAGCCAGGTAAGAGTGTATCTGGGTGTGTTTGTAGGCATTTGTCAATTTATCTGTCCCCAATGAGAAACATCAGCCCCAGACTGTATGCCCCATTATACACCACCATCCCACTACCGGGGCTAGTCTGTCATCCCAGCCAGGTAAGAGTGTGTCTGGTTGTGTGTTTACCTGTTTGTCTGGTTGTCTGTCTCCTGTGAGAGACATCAGTCCCAGACTGTCGGCTATGGAGGACACTACCATCCCACTACCCAGACTAGTCTGTCATCCCAGCCAGGTAAGAATACGTCTGGTGTATTTCTGTGTGTTTGTCTGTCACGCATGAGAAACATTGATCCCGACTGTCAGCCATGGGAGAGACCACCCTCTCACTCCTGGGGCTTGTCTGTCATCCCACCCAAGTAAGGATGTCTTAGGATATGCATTTGTGTGTTTGTTCACCCATGGATCTGTCATCTGAAATCTTTTACATGAAGTGAGGTTTTGTCCACCTGTTTCTGCCTGTTGCCACAAAACTTAATTTTTGGAAGAGGGAAAGAGTCTATCAACTTAGTTTATATGTGTGGAAAATGCTGGATGAATCTGATTATGATGAGAAAAGACAAACCCCAAATTAAAATATCTTCTTTACGTTAAATTTCGATTGACAAAATTGTTTTTGAAACTTAAAAAACTTTGAGAGAAATTCCAATATTTGTTGTTCTTTATGTAAATTTCGGAAAATGTAAATTTCTTAAGGATGTTATCGGCTTACAGAAAAAATCGAAACATAATTCTCATAAAAGAATGACCTTTTCTTTTTTTCTCTCAAAGGTTGTAACCATCTCCTCCTTTGACAACTCGGTCAACATCCTGCCCACCAAGACCAAACCCAAGAAGCTGGTATTCCACGGAGCTGACGGTAAGAGGTACACCTACCTCTTCAAGGGGCTGGAGGACCTACACCTGGATGAGAGGATCATGCAGTTTCTCTCCATCGTCAACACCATGTTTGCCCGCAACAAGAGGTGATTAGTCAAGTGTCCTGTGCAGTGTTTCCCAAGGACAAAAACGTCGCCCGTGCGGGTTGACATTTTTTCACCGGAGAGTTTTGCAGTACCTGAAGGTGCCGAAGTAAACTTTGAGTATTTTGCTGTGGATGAATCTGGGAACGTAATAGTTTTAGCCTAGGAGTTTCCTTAGTTTTAGCCTAGGAGTTTCCTTAGTTTTAGCCTAGGAGTTTCCTTAGTTTTAGCCTAGGAGTTTCCTTAGTTTTAGCCTAGGAGTTTCCTTAGTTTTAGCCTAGGAGTTTCCTTAGTTTTAGCCTAGGAGTTTCCTTAGTTTTACCCTAGGAGTTTCCTTAGTTTTACCCTAGGATTTCCTTAGTAATGGCTCCAACATTGACTTTTGAACAAGGCCAACACATAGTGCTTCAACCAGGGCATTTTACCATTCTATAGCCTTCGCTTTCCTGGATTTACACATACGCTGTACACACTTGATTAGGTAAACAGAGTTCCACCAGATGTCATTTTGAGTTATGTCTTTGATATGACCACTGTGATAACAATCCCATTTTCCTGTGTTGTCACAATGTAGTGTATCCTTGCAACCACTTGCAGACAGCGTAATTCCACGGTAAACTTGTCCTAGCCATAGTGTTATGTTTTGCTAAAAAGTAATGACTTTTTGAAATGAAAAGATACTATAATCACAAAGTGGGACTTTGCAATCGCTGACCCACGGTGGTCATTTGTTTGAGACATCTTTTCCTTTCTCGTTTGAAACTCCAAGACAATGTCATGGAGCGATATTTGCCGCCATGCCTGGCCCTGGCCCTGGTTTGAGGGCGCCACACATGCTCAACCTCCGTGGACTCGTTCGAGCCCCTGTTTGTGTACATACTCTTTGGTAATCGCTCAAATGTGGGAACTAGTGAAGATGTCACCCGTTACTGTACGCATAATTCATCATAATGTGTTTCTATATCCTCCGTGTTACGACACGGGAAATTCCCGTGCGCTTACACATTATCCAGGTTGAAGTTCTTACAAAGGTTACAATTGAGATTTTGTAATGGTAAAGCACGCAATCCTGCTAAAGATCAATCCATCATATCTGTTAACTCCAAATTGACCCTAGTTTATATTCAGTCCTTTTTAATAGCTATTTCTGCATTTGAAATGTACACTGTGCACGATTTCTTTGTTTGTTTTCCCATACCTAGGCAAGAGGCATCACTCTACCATGCCTGTCACTATTCCGTGACGCCCCTCGGCCCACGGTCAGGCCTCATCCAGTGGGTGGATGGAGCCACAGCGCTGTTTGGACTGTACAAACGCTGGCAGCAACGTGAAGCTATCGCTGCCGCAGCAGCCAAGGTAATGCAGTGATCACAACCCTATGAAAAGCAGCCTAACAGCCTGCCAAGTGTCATTCGTCTTCTACCATGTAGTTAACAAACTTTGAAATTTAGCTGCTGAGCTTCAAGATGTTGACGCTGCATCTACATTCACAAGTGCCCACCAGGTGATAAATTTAAATTTGGATGACACCGGTACCATGCAGAAGTGGTTAATTGCTGCATGTTACCGGTGTAAATGCTAAGCACGAGTGTGATCCCTTTGGTTTGAAAAGTGCGAAGTTTGACAGTTTTTTCTTGGAGAGGGAGAGGTGGGGTGGCAGATGATGGACAGTTGAAGTTTTAAGAGAATACCAATGTGGTCACCTTTATGTCCAATTTGTTTTTCTGTGTTGCTTTTGTTAAACTATTGAACAGAGTACCAACTCCTCCACTGGTCAACCACCGGTGCCAAGACCCAGTGAGGTGTACTACAAAAAGATGAAACCGGCCCTGGAAGATATGGTAAGATGTTCAGTTGTAGAATCAAGTCACAGAGAGTCTTACGTCTCATGGTCCTTGATGTACCTCCTGGGACCTATTTGTAATGGGTGTATTGTCGTCTCATATCATTGGGCAAGTTTTCAAGAATGGATATATATGTAAGATAACTGATTTGTACGGGGCAACAGAGGCTTTGCGTAGAAGCCATCTTGCAGGGCAGTTCTTTTGTTCTGGGGGGAAACCTCCTTTGTGCGTACCCTGTAGAACAAAAGCAATAGCCAGCAAAATGGCAGCCATGAAAACCCTCTACAGGTTTTTTTATAATGCCTAATGGCCAACAACCATACTCTTCTCCTCGCTTTATACTCAACCCAGGGACTGTCGGATCAGACTGCTCGCAAGGACTGGCCACTCAGCATCATGAGAAATGTCATGCAGGAACTTATCAAAGAGACGCCCAGCGATCTCCTAGCAAAGTGAGTCCACACAAACATAAAGTCAGATTTTTTACTATTTGTTACAATCAAAACAAACTTTATTTCCAAGCGTGATTGTTCCATGTCTGCATACTGTTTTAATCGATTTGTCATCAAGTTTTCATGGCCAAAGTTCTGAATTTGAAATTCAAATAATCATAAGGATTTACCTCATTAAATACTGTACTGGTACCGTAAACTTTGCTGGATACCAGTAAACAGTTTGAGCACACAGGTTGTGCTGTAGATGTTTTGTCATGTGGTCATTTGTCATCTTGCAGCAGCATATAACTTGGGTTTTTTTCTTTCAAAGCATCAGATATATTTTCCATATAACTATCTGTCATTGCGAAGATTTTTTGGCCTACTGCTACCTGAAATGAAAGGGCATGTCTAGATTACTTGACTGTGGCTTGATATTGTCCACAATTTAATGGGATTTGGCTTCAGCTGCTGCCATAGACTTGTGCA